AAGCGACACTTGTGAAAAATGTAAGGCTAGGGCAAACCCAAATCGAGCTACAGAGTGCTAATGGGATTAGGGCTGGAGCACAGTAAAAAATCGCACACGCACACTTGATGGCTTCAAACGCAATCCACAAGACTGGTGATGGAAAAACTGAACGGCGATGAAAAACATGAGTATTATGAGAATACTTTATTTTCCAATTATACGAGGTAACTAGCCAAACAAATTTGTTGGTGGTTTCTAGATACTGCATCAATGTCTGGTGCCCTTCCCGTTTATATAATGCCGTGCAATTGCACTTTCATTTCGACTTGAAATAATAAATATCAGATAAAGACAGGGGCAGACACAATTTTAATTAGGGCATGAAAAAGGACCACACTTCAAGTCGCCACCTTGGAAATTAAATGATGTGATGTGATAATTATGTTTATTTGACAAGTACTGCACTGGCTACAAAATAGTTGTTTTGGAGTAAGTAACTTTGTTTTACTGGACGAGTCAACAAATTTGTGATCAAACAAAGATTAAAACAATCGTGTCCTGCAAACTGTGTTTTTACAACATGCTTCGAAGGTTCAATACAACAATTGGGAGATGTGGTGTTAATAGGAACTCCGCTTCACCTTACCTCATTTTCTCCTCCCAGACTGTAACATAAAACCACTTCCTAAAATCTCTCTGTGTGATATTTTGCAAAACGGACGTCGCAATGTCAGGAATTTTAACTGCAGTTTTATCCTGCAGCACATCAGCTTTTCGCTCGTATCTCTCACAATAACCATTTTCAATCACTGCTCCCTCAATGGATCAGATTGGTGTGGACGGCGTAACAGAATATATCTGAACCAATATTTCTGAATATTTCGATGGAAACGGAAAGGCAGTCAATGTAATAGCTGGATCTTCAGCCCTCGGACCTCGATACTGCCGCTTTTTTGCTCTAATATTATCGTCTCTAATTATTGAAAGAAAACAATTATTTCATGCAATTATTTAGAGTCGTTTTTCTCCCCGAAACCTAAAAGAATACGCGTTATGTTAACGACAATTAATTAATGTGTACATATTAAAGTTGACAAAAATAAGGCTTCGGGTGAGAAGTAAAACAATTTGTACATTATTTTACATCTTTTTTTCTTTCACTGAATAAAGCGCCGTAAGCTTGTCAGAACATTAAAACAATCTCCATTTGGTGATTCTTAATGTCCTAAGATTGATTGGATGGGGTAATATGGCTATTTTAACGTGTGGTTGCAGTGTAAATTTTGTTTATTTGGAATGATGCTCCTCATTTTGTCAATTGGTGGTTAGAAATATTTCCCTGTTTCGGGAAGGGGAGCAGCGGTATCGTTTTAGAATTTAGTTCTAGTCCCAACGTGGAGCCCTTCAAATGATCAGCATTCAACCATATCTGAAATTCCAAACCAGGAATTGTTCTTCACAAGGTAAAGCATCTGCATCGCCTGACCTCAACCGCTTTCCTACAGGCGTTTGGAAGGTGTACATTTTTTTGTAATGTGTAATGAATAATGAATATTTAACATAAAAGTTCTCGGAATCAAATTTAATAGTCGTAATATTCTTAGTTTGAAACTTGCGCTCTGGCAAGAAATGAGTCAGTAAATTGACCTTTCTTATTGTAATTGTAACGAGGAACTTGCTCTTTAAACGTCGACGTTTACAATCAAGCTATCTCCCTGTAAAGTTGCTGAGAATGTACAATCTAACAATTTCACGGTATCGCCTTTTGTGATAAACTGCGTTTGGTGACATTTAGCAAGCCCAGTTGCTTTTAAGGAACGGGAGAGCCGAGTCTCCCAGTTGAAGATCTCTGGTATTATGAGTGAAATGTGTTTATGGTCTCATGTACTACCCCACCTACATTGGTGTATTAATATCCGGCAGATTAAAGACTGAAACCCAATCCAATGCTAAATTTGGTTCATTCGTAAACTGCTGTCACACCCCATTCGTCCAATAACTCTCCGTTCTCGAGCTACCCTCCGGGATATCGGTTGCTTCGCACCGGTTCCAGTGCCTATAACGGATCAATGCAGAACCGAGATTACGAATCACGTTGATTCATGTTTGAAATTCGTCACATTCAGTCCTTAGATCTGTATGTGTTTCAGAGAGGGCTGCGTCTCGGCAATTCCTGGAATGTTAGAAGGGAGGGTTTGTGCTGGTGATGGAATAACACAGGCAGTCCGCTCAGGCAGGCCAGAGCGTCACCCTGAAATGAATCATGTGTAAAATAAATCTTTGCAATTAGTCCTGAGGTGGCAGAAACATTTCGGCGAGAAAGATAGAAACAAACGAAGGGGAAGGTGAGCCTCAGCAAAATCCCTGGAAACAATATCCACAGCGCCTGATTGCAAAGCAACAAGATGAAGGCTAACCATGTTATATCCTGACACTTCAAACCACACCGGCTTTAATATATCCCCGGTCATGTGGTTTACTCTGCATCCTCCTCACCAACAGAAATTAAATTTTCCAACTATCATGTCCAAATGCAGATATTCGGTTTTTGTTTACTCGTTATAAAGGAATTTAAATCATGATTTTTGAACCTTTTTTTTAAAACAGTTGCTGGGAACGGGTGTGTCTTGGTTAATTTTGTATTTGTCCAAGTGAACGGGGCGCTTCAGGGGCATGCGTTAAAATGAACACGTTCCTTGTCGGTCTTTGTGCTACAGTCCACGAGATGGTGTATATGAATTGAATTTAGAGCAAGGGTGAGAATAGTGTGGTTCGCTTGTACCACACCGCGGTGTGTTTTAATGCAGACGTGACCATTGGAGGCTGACTCAGTTATATTGTAGAGAACATTGGCGCAATTTGTCTATACGACAGTTGTCTGCTGTGGGTAATTGAGCAGTGGAAATAGTATCGCTCTGAAACGAGCTGGATTTATTACTTTCAGTGCTCTTGTCAGTATCTCCGGTCACAGCGTGAAACAGTAGATGGCGTATTTCTTAATTGCCAAAGATCATTTCTGCACTTTCGGTCACCAAATGTGTTTCTTGTTCCGACAGTACCAGCCTAACCACAGTAAAGCAAAATGTGCCATCAAAGTGGACCTATCCTCAGTAAACCGCAAACTTAAAAAGAAGGCAAGATTTTTTTGTTTAAAATAGAAATCGCCTTAAAGCAATTTATGAATGAATAAAAAATCCATATACATTAACAGGAAGGCCTCAAGTTTCAGACTCACAAAGGAATTTCAAGAAATATATTGTACAATGATTTGGGACTTTAGAAGTAAGTAGCCGATATGATTCAAGAAAAAGATTTGGAATCATGCAAGAGTTGAAGCCTAGTGAACACGCAAACTAAAACAGAGGCAGCAAACACCAGAAACTGGCAGCCAGCGTCTGTGGAGAGAGAAAAAGAAACAGTCTCGGTGTTTGAAATGTGGACGCTTCACCCGTGTTCTTCAGCCTCCTTTACAAGATGTGTCAGTGCTCATTCAACTTACTTCACACTCCCATTTTCCACCAGGCAATGTTAGGTCTTTTTTCGAAAAAACGCAAGTTCATATGAAGGATGCAACGGGTGTTCATCGGAATTCTGCTCAGATTGGTGATGAAGCCTTCCTTTAACAGCCTCCTTTAACAATGTATAATCGTCCACTTCACATATATATAATAAAAGCAAAATACTGTTCCGAAGAAGGGTCATACTGGACTCGAAAATTACTGTTTCTCTCTTCACAAACCTGCTGAGTCTAACACTTCCTGTTTTTATTTCACTTCACACGTGTTTTGCAGAAAAAGTCCTGTTAGTTTTCTCTCTATAAATGTTACATACTATCCACTTGTTAAAGTGGGAGAAGCGGGAAGGACTGTACAACACAACATTGCGAATAGCCGTGAAGGGTTTAAAAACGTCCTATTTAAAACTAGCTTCATAACAAAATAAGTTGTTTTAATTTATTTGGCGCTCTTCATTTCTAATGCCTCATAGATTTGAGAAAGTGCGCATTATAAAGTGGCATGAAAAAAGCATCACACACTCCTTTTGCATCTTTGCTGGTTTGATTCTCAATGCACGGCGATTCTTCCTTTCCCTTTTCCTAAAACGCTATTACTTCGAGCTTCCAATAATAGCATCGGCGCTACGACGGAGATGAAAAAAAACTCGAACGATTCAGCCGTGGTTGCACAAGCCAAACCCTGCAGATCGCACGGTGGGCTTCAAATGTTGCCGACTGGATAAGGTTTGCATGTGGTAAGTTATCCCGCATGACCCATTGACTTTAAACAGACGTTTCAGCAAGTAAACTGTAACATTTGCTGACAACACTAATGAATAACCTGGATGAAAAGCTGCCTTATGATGTCCAGGTTTGCGCGCCCTTCGTTTATTACCATTCATCAATTATCCCACTAATCAAAACATTTGTTATGTTTTGTCTCTTTCCGGCTCCTCCAGAATTTGAAACATGATTGCATTTGTTAATTAGTCGCTAATAGCGAGGTAATGTGCGCTTGATGGATAACCGTGTCATTGCCAATCACGCCGCCCATTCATATTCCCAGCGGCGTGAGGCGGGGTCCGTGCTCGTGTTGTCACGTGCGCAATCAGACGGGGCGGGGCGAGGACGCACGGTAATATAACCGCTAAATGATTGACATGGGGGATAGCCCATAAACGTGGGACATGGGCGGCATATGCGCTTTGAATGGTTAAGATCGGTGTTGTTGGCGGGTGTACCAATCGCACGCGTCCCCTGGGCCAAGAGCAGGAGCATTGTGTCGCTGTGTACTTTGGGATCTGCAGTCCCGAGCAGCCTGGGCCTTCACTGGACTAAGTGAAAGGACTACAACCCCCAAGGTGCCATGCGGGGGCCATCCCGCCTGGCTATTCCAAACCTGTCAATCAGCACGCGTCATGCAGCTTTGCTTATCAAGGTTTGGTGGGTGGGGGGCGGGTGGAATGGGGGGAGCCGAAGGGGGAGCAGCCAATGTGAAGAATAGATCAGGAAAGAAAAAAAATCCCTCAAGTGTTATCTTCCCTGCAGGGTAGAAATTTTACTGTACAATGTGAAAACTCCAGTTTCAAACAGCCGCTTTGCATAGGGCTTCGCACAAAGTTCTTTCGCAGATTCAGCAACGAAATGAAACGCAGAAAGATTGCCATCGCCGCTGGGTTTTGCTGTTCATTCTTCCTGGGCACTTTATTGAATTTGTTATTTATCCCTGGATTTGACCATCACCATCATCATCATCATCAGCAGCAGCGTTTTGAGGGACCAGGGCAGGATCACCTCAGCATCGTCCCATCCACATATTTCAACCGGGGGACCGACCAAGACCTGTTGAAGCAACTGAAAGAAAGGTACCAGGAGGTTGTCCGCTATCGGCAGCAGCCTGGCTCCACGGCGGCTGCAGGGAGGCTCGCTAGACCGCTAGAGAGGCGCCTGATGGACCTAGCACAGAACAGTTCCCCCGACCAACTGCAACCCCAGCATCAGCCGCAACCACAGAGCCACACCGGTTTCCAGAAGAACCGGCTACTGACTGCGCCCGGAGAAAGTACCTTCGCCTCGAGCAGTCCGATTCGGTTCCATTCGCTTCCCCTGGGCTGTAGGGATATTAATAACGCGAGCAGTGTCCATTATTTAGGCTCTGGCTACACAAAGGCGGTGTACAAAGCGGTTCTGAATGAAACGCTGGCAGTGGCCTTAAAGTCGGTGGACTTTGGAGGACATGACATGGAAAACTGTGTCAAGCAGTACGGGGCACTGGAAGATTGCTACAGACTAGCATCGTACAAACTTGTCAAAGAGATGACACTATTACAACGGCTGCAGCACTCAAACATTCTAAAGGTAAGTGGCAGGCACTGTCCATCAGTAACCTGTTGGAGCAATTTCTTACTGGGAGGACAGAAAAGATTGGGTTTATTTGGGGATTGATTTCTTTGCTCAGTGAGTCATTTTTGAAAAGCCATCCATCTGTCTGATCTATGTTGGTCCAATGCACGCGTGGAAAATATACAGAGCACTTCATGACAACGCTGTTAACCTGACATTCTCTTCAGTCATTCACGACTGATGTGAAAGCACAAACATTTCAGTTCATTAAAGATATTTATCTCATGACCGTGTGTCACTGGGTTGGCTTTTTCACGGTATTTGAGCTGATTCAATATTAAGACCGATCATTCGGCATCATTTCAGATCGTAATGTGATTGTGGAATTAGGTGGCAGGATTAACATGGATCCTCAGCAGGAATTCACTTCTTAAAGTCCTGCAAAGGCAATTTTGCGCTGAAATTTCATTTTTACATGTCAATTTAAGTTTTTTGAAATTAAATTGGGCTATAACGTGCTTGCATTTCTTTCTGCTGTCCAGATTGTGTTATTGTATTATAACCTGACCTTTAGGAAATAATCCCTTCTGGAGTTTTTAATTGTTGAGAGTGAGGGAATGGGGTTGGAAAGGAGAAGAAGGAAGAGGTGAGGGCGGCAGCCTCTTACGGATGAGCTACCCGGGGAGATGGGCTGAATGTTTTCCTTCCAGTTGCAGTCTGCTTGCCTCGTTTTGCTTTCAGGATTCCTGCCCAACACCGGAGATTCACTCCGCGTTGAAGCGCACTTTGGCTGATAATGTGGGCTGCATTGCCAGCGCTGTGTGCAGAGCCCTCCCTTTGAACCGGCTGAGTTTAAAGCGGCCGCAGTGTGGCTCAGACGTCGCTGCCTGGATTGGAGTCGGCTTTTGTTTTAATCACCGCTGGTTGAAACGGGGCATCAGCTGAGCTGCAGAGGTTATTTCTGTGCCAGTGGAAATCAGTGAATCATTTGCTGCGGCATTACCCCCAGCGGGCTGCAATGCAATTGACGCTGGCTGTCTCGGCAGTACTTTAAAATAAAAATCACGCTGCATTTAGGACATTGCTCTGGTTATAAAACCAAGCACTTCACTCAACACCACGTAGCCCATGACAGTTTTTAGAAGCACACAGACATTATGCAAATACATCCGTGCAATTTTTAATGAATTTGTCAGATTACCTGTTGTATATCCAATGCCTCTGACCAGCATAGAGGATCTCCCCTCCTCTCTCTCTGTCTCTCGGGGCTAAATTCACTTTCACAGATTTGTAAAACAAACTTGCGTCCATTCAGCCCTTTTAATTCAATCCGTCGTTGCCCGCATGCTTTCAATAAGCAGCACGGGGTTGTTCTGTACCATTTTCGTTCCCACGTTACTTGAATGGGGTGGCTTTCTCCAGAAGTTTGTACATAGCGGGAGGACCGTACACGCAATCAGATGATAAAAAGGACAGAATATTCGTACACATATACTCAAGAATTTTTTTTTGTGTGTGTATGTGGGGTTGGGGGTTGAGGCAAATGTATTTGTATTCCCACTAATAAGAAGTGTCAAGTGCTGTTGATCCAGTTTCTATAGTAACCGTCTTTCCGTTCTTTATTACGGAGAGGGATTTTACGGGATGCCCAGTTTAAAGTGTAATGTGCAAGAGAATGGGGAAGTTCTGTATTGTTCAGAGCAGATCTATCCCTTAAGCCTTGTACAATCCACCCAGTGCTGAAGCCGACTTCAAATAGAATGTGTCCCATCATCAGCAAGAAGGTTTAATCTCGAGAGGAAAGCGGTACTTTTCTGGGCAAAGCTGCTTTTACAATTGCAATTGCTCAGGGTAATAATCCATTATTTGTGTGTGTATATGGATAGATGTTGTAATTTAAAATATACCAGCAAAATGTCCTCTGGGGCTATGACAAATCCAATTTCCATCCCCGCTCTTCGCGGGAGTGACGAGATTATGTTTAAAATGAAAATCAGGCCGAATTCTAACTACCCAGTAAAATGTTGCACTCGCCCGACTCTCCAGTTCTGCCCGCCACTCCCAGATTAAGAACAGCACCAAATGTGACCATGTGAAGACTAGCCAACAGCCGCAGGGCTGTGAGGGTTGTCAGTCAGTTGAATTGAAAGTGGGCTTTCAAGGAAAAAAAAAGACCCTCAGTGAGCCAATATTTGTATTCTTTTTCGGGAGAAAATCACGTCCGATTATCAGATATTCCTAAAACTAGGTAGAAATAGATAGACTGCATTACTGGTGTAAGCCTGAGAATAGTGAAAAGGCGCGCCCCGCAACATTACTAAATCATATTCTGAAGCAAGGTCACTAGACCCGATACGTTTAACTCTGCTTTCTCCCCACAGATGCTGTCGGACCTGCTGAGTTTATCCGGCAAGTTCCATTTTGTTTTAGCACTTGGTGACAGCTCCTAGTTGCTCTTAAAAATTAATCAGTTTAAGTACCCTATGAACGACCCCTGTTTATTAAGCGATGACTGAATTGTACAGAAATTGCCGGGAAACCTCAACAGCAGGTGGCGAGAAAGCAGAGTTAACGTCTGGGTGACCCTTCTTCAGAACATAGTATCACAGTGCTGTTGCGACCCATCCACGACTCTTAGGCTTGTTGTGCTGTTTGTACACTAGTAACGCAGTCTATCTTTTATTCTGTCTGGATTGTAGTGGTAAAGTCACTGCACTAGTAATCCAGACCCTCAGATTAATGTTTTGGGAAAATGAGCTCGAATCCCACCAGTACAGTTGATGAAATTTGAACTCATTACAATAATGGAATAAAAGAACTTGTCTCATAGCGATTGTGTTGTCATAAAAAAAAATCCATCTGGTTCACTGATGCCCTTTGGGGAAGGAAATGTACTGTCCCGATTTCATTTGGCCTACATATGACTCTGGACCTGCAGCAGTGTGGTTGACTCTTAACTTCTTTCTGGGCGGTGAGAGATGAGTAAACAATGGTGGCCGAACCAGTGACACCCGTGAATGAATAAAATAAAAATGCAATTTATTTTAAAACAAAATCGAGCCGATTGCATTATGTTAAATTTCCCCCGGCGAAGAAGACCGACACAAAACTAAACCTACAGATCAGAAACCTCAGACATGATACCGTAAATTAGTTCCAATTTGTACTTTGCCTACACTTTTTTTCAAGTGTTTGTCTTTATCGAAGTACATTAGGCGGCTAGTGAAGATTGAACTGCATCTGGTTCGCTGCCCAGTGGTACGTTCATTTGCCTGATGGCCTCCCAGAAGACACTGGAGTGATCCTTTAAAACACTCAGCGCCGGAAATTTTGATATAGTGGATGGTGACGATAGTAAACGACTGTTATTGCAAATAAACCGCAAATTGTTATTTATTTGGGAGGGAGGGTGACGGTCCGTTCCTAAATCGTTGATTTGTTGTCACGTCCGTTCAGTAAACTAAGGAGATTTCCTTGGAAAGCTGCTATCAGGAATATACATGAACTGCTGCCGTTTGGTGAAGCTGCTTCATGTTCTCTCTCACTGTGATCCAGGTGGCCATTTGGGAAGAAAGCTGTCTGGAAATCAGAGTTACTGATGGGAGGGAAATATCAGTTTCCCGCGATGTGGGTTGAATTAAAAAAAAGGTTCGAGTTGAAATTGGACAGAGCGCGCTCGATGTGGCTCACTGATTTACGGCTAGACCTTTAACCAGTACAAATTACACTGGCTGTAGCACTTAAAAAGAGAATGTCCCCTGCCCTCGGAGCTTTTATCTCACGTAATCATTAACCTCCCGTCATTTCAACTTTTGCACCTTGTCTTGGCTTGTTTTTACCCTGTAAATTAACTCCTTCATTACAACATTTTTTTTAGAAAATGCACCAATCCTGGAACTCCAAAATTCTCAGTGTCTAGACTCCCACACACCGAAGAATGCGTAATTTCCCCGTTAGTGACCTATTCTGAGGCATTTGAAAGAATGTTCAGTGCAATAACCTATTATTACATCTTACTGTTAAGTAGGGCATTATTGAGTAATATTTTAAGAATGCAGAAATGTAAAAAGCATTTTATTACGTTTCTGCTTGCTCGATATATGTGCCTACACTTTTGGTTTTCAAGAAATCGAGTTTTTTGTGTCTAAGCCACCCCCTATCCAATTAAAGCAGATGTTAATCCGCTCCTGACATCCGACGCGTGTTCATTCCTGTGTTTATTGACCAGAATTTACCTCTCAGAGCTGGCAGTCTGGGATGGATGGATGAGCTGAATCGACAAACCAACTTCTGGTTGACGCCCAGCTCCCTGAGTTCACTGACGTTACTGATTGGAAAGTGGTATCTTAGTGAAAGGTGTTAATGACGCAATCAGATCCCATCCCGTGTTGTTTCTGCTGCATGCTGCGGTACAGATGAAGCAAGCCGGTCAGATACTGAATCAGCACGGTCAGTACAAATAGCTGACAGCAGAAACTACCTTCGGACTCATAGGATGAGGGGAGAGAGAGGACACATCCCGAACACCATACAAGTTTCCCTCTGTATTTGGAATCAATATTATTTTGATTAAGGCAGAAATCTCATTTTTAAGGGACTCTTTTTGGAAATGTATTGTGACTTTATAACATTAAAAAAATGGTAGAAGCAGAAATGCAAAAAAGAGAATGGGACTCGCTCTTTGCGATGACAGATGCTCTTTAACCCCGCTGTTTTGCATTTTGATCCTGCTATTGATTATTTTCCCCTTTACGGTTCACCAACTACTGAAGGTGATCACTATCCCCGCACAGTTTTGGGAGGAGGGATCGTGGCTGGTTTGTGGAGCTTAACCCTGGGCCCTCTTCCACCCTTTGTGGGAATGAGCAGGATGCTTCATGTTGAGGCCGTTCGGCCCTAAAGGCGTTGCTCTTTTTTAATCCATCGGCGGCGTGACGAGTGTCAAGCTTTGGTCATTTCCCCACGGTCACCGTCAGCCCCTTTCCAACATTTGGAAAAGTTATAATGCTTTCTGC